AAGTTATGAAAGGTGCACCATCTAGTCCCTCATAGACAATGAAAATCTATTTTCACTGGAGCATTATTTCTTTAAGTTGCAAATTGATACTTCAAGAACTAGTTATCCAAAAGCTGACTTGAGAAATGGTCAATCTTTTGATTATATTCATGCATTTCTTTCAAATTGACTGCCATTCATTTGTCTTTAGAGCAGTGCTTTATGTTATGGCCAATTTGTTTCTGGCCACCCTACCTCCACCCCGTTCCCTGCTGCTGCTGCAGCTGTGAGCTTACAGGCAGGAGAGGAAACCAAGGATCCCAGGAGTGATGGTGTGGGGACATCCAGTGTGAAGGATGTTTGTGAATCTTTCCTTTATATCAGTTCTTACAAATGTATCCCAACAATGTATTATTAAGAATACATGTTTAGGAATTCCTCTTGTTTTCTGAATTTAGACTCTTTTTTTTTTTTTTTTTTTTTTTTTTTTTGTCTTTTTCTTTTTTATCGGTACCAGGGATCAAACCCACGACCGTCTGCTTGCAAGGCAGGTGCTTATGCCGCTGAGCTAAATCCCCAGCCCCTGAATTTAGACTCTTGAATATATTTTGTGTATGTTACTTTTTCCCTTGTCTCTGCTTCTACTGTTCAATTGCAAAGCATAATTAAAGGAAATAACATTGGCTAATGGCTCTGCTGGTTACTTGTCCTCATTCTGCTGAAGTCAGGTCAGGAAGATGGTGTTTTCTGATATTGGCTGCCTAGACCAGTAATTTTGACATCTTTAACCCCCAGAGCTTTCCTCCTGTAGGATTCAGATAAAAGAGAAGTAAGAACTTAGAGTGACATCCCCACGGCAGGCTGCAGTGTGCACCCTTCTAGTGTCAGCAGCAGTGCTGGGTAGGGAAGAGATTGACTGAGTGACATTTTGTCAGTTTTTTCCCAGTAAGTTGCAGTTTTAAAGTTGGAATTGAAATTCACAGCTGACCATTCAGGTTCACATGGAGAACTGGGGCTGCAAGCACACTGGATGTTATTATAACACAGACAAAGCACACAGAAGTTCCCTCGGGGCTGCTTGTTGTTGGTGACCTGAGTTGGCAGTGAGTTAACTGAAGGCAGTTCACCTGGGAGTAATCACTGTGTGGACTTAGAACATCGGTGCGCTGGGCAGAGTGACCATCATGAAGCCCTCACTGCCCTCTCTGCCTCCACGTTTACAGAATGAGCTTCACTTGGGCTGCCTGCTGCTTTTGGTGTGGTGGTGCTCTGAGGCCGACGGGGGACCCTCCTCAGCAGCCTAGAGGTGTCTCCTGCAGACCTTGCAGTGAGGAGCAGTGCTCCAGGACAGGTTGGAACAGCTGAGGCCGGTTCTGGGATGCTGTTGGGATCTTCCACCCTGTTCCCAGGCTTTATTTCTTCCTAAGCCCTGGCTTTCTCTCTGTGGACCGACTTTCTCCACAGGGTGAAAGCCCTGCCTGCAGCCCAGCCTCTGCAGGTGATGTTTTACAGCCTTTGTCCTACATCCACGCATCCCAGGAAGGCCAGGCGAGGGCTCCTATGAGGAAGCAGAAGCAGGAGGCCACAGAGTGAGATCAGGGAGGAGGAAGCCTCTGCCAGGGTGGGGGTGGCGCATCAGCAGCAGGCGGTAACTGCTGCTGTTGACCCTGAATGTACTGTCTGAACACGCTTGAAATCACTAGCAACTTAACTAATATTCTTCCAGGTTCAAGCTTTAATTATAATTATTCTCCCTCATGCTAGACTTCCTCATTTGTCAGGTTGAGCTTAACAGAGTTAGAAAGTCTAGTGAGAGACTCCATTCTGAAGACTCCCGAAGGCTGACTGGCTGGCTGGTGCTCTGTTGTGCTCCTAACCCAGAATCATTGTTGCTAGGGTTCTGTGTGGTTCTGTAGAGCCTTCCAGCTCTTAGGGATGGTACAGCTTTGTGGCATAGATGAATCTGTCTCTTCTCCTTCTCCATATAGGTGGTAAGCCTAATCCCAGCGGAAAGAACTCATTTGGGCATCAACTTTAACATTTTGCATCTCAAGATTTGAATTTGTGACTGTAGTTGACAATATATTGTTAACTATGAGAGTTTTGGTTTTGTTTGTTTCCACTTGGTACAGAAATTGAACCCACGGAGTGCTGAGCTACATTCCCAGCCCTTTTTTATTCTGAGACAGGGTTTCACTAAGTTGCCCGTGCTGGGCTTGAATTTGTCATCCTGACTCAGCCTCCCAAGAATGTAACTGGCATGACAGGTGTACAGTGGCCTACCTAGTAATAGTGTGTGCACTGTTAAAAAATCATGAGAATAGATATAATATGTTCTCACCATGAAATATATGATTGTATGCGATAACAAGTGTTAATTAGCTACATTTAGTCACTCCACACTGTACATAACTTCAAAACATAATGCAGGGTAGCTGCATACAATTATATCAATTTTAAAATTTTAATAAATAAAATAAAGAATACATTGTTTCTACCCAGACCTCCTCTCCAAAAAACAAAGAAAATTTGAATCAGTTTATAGTTGGCAGCTACCTGAGTATATCGTCGGTCCATTAAAAATAAAGTTTTGGAGGTCTTTCCAATGCTTTACAGAGTACTACCCCTCCCCAAATTCTTCATAGTTTCTGTCTCTAGTCCTGTCTTTTGCTGGAATTTAGAAATAAGTAAGTATGTAGAGGCCCCTACATGATTATTATTTCCAGAGAAACGGCCTGAGACCTCTCAATTAAAACTACCCCTGCATTCTAGGGAGAGTAAGAATCACAATGAGCTTGAGAAGCTAAATTCTCACCCACTCAGTTAAACTCAGAAAGGACAAATGACCTAGGAATCTTGTGATAGTTGGGGTCATAACTTTTTGCCTTTTGTCTTGATATTCCAGATGTGAGGATTTCTGAACGCTTGCTTGTTTGCTGTGCAGAGCTGCCCAGGTAGTTAGTTCAGTTGTCACCAAGGCTAAGCCTTTGTGCATGGCTGTGAGTTACTGGACCTGGGAATAACCTGCCTCTTGTTCAGACCTGAGTATGAATCAGAAATAAAAAGACTATTAAACATGGGTGAAATTCTAGAATAGTCTTCGCATTGGGAATCTTGCCTAAAACACAACTGGGAGGCACAGGGTCGGCTGCCCCTGGGAGGAAGCCTGTGTCCTGTGGCAGCCATCTGTAGTTGCTGCTGGAGACCCGGTGTGTTGGAAGTGGGACTCAGTCCTTCTCTGGGAACTCACCTCTGCTACTTCCTCTTCCTGGTATCAAGTAAATGAGATCTGCTCTCGCATAAGGAAGTTAGTTTTTTTTTAATTTTAAGAGTGTTATCAACCCCCAAAGCCCTCTCTCCAATAGATGAACAGGTCCAAAACTTTCAGACTTTAACTTTGGTGAGCAGCAAGGTTGGTTTTCTTTTAAAATGAAAGCCCTTAACACCCTTTGGTCTGACTTCTTCTGCCAGTTTCTCCTGTGTCATTTGTACTATACAGATAGAATCGGTCTCCTTAGGTCATCCTTTGCCTTCCTGCAGTGAACACTCCTATTCAGAGTTTGAAACTGATGAAGCACAAAATCAGACCAAGTGGTCAGTCAGTGCAGTCCCATGAACGTGGCTGCTTCCGTGATGTCAGTGTACAGCACATCCACACTGGACAGCACGCCCCCAGAGGTTCCCTTGCTTTGATGACTGCTCAGTCCTTAGACCTTTGATCTTTGGGAGCCTTGTCTTCCTCATAAGTGTTCCGTTGTCAGGATACTTAAAAATTGATATGTCAGTAACCTAACAAAGTACTCCAAATGTTTCTGCAGCATTAATATGATTGAAGCCTGAAACTCCTAAACTCAGCATCAACTGGGAAGCACTGCAGAGTGAGTCCAGGAGCCCTGGCTTGGCAGGAAGGAGTACTGAAGTAGACCTTCTGTTCTCTTTCCAGAACAGCCCATCTTTTTACCCTGTCACCAGTCTGCTCTGAGTCTCGTTTTCCTCAAGTACAAAATCAAATGAATAGCTCCTACTCTTCCAAGTTGTTGGAGTGCCTTGAAAACAAATATTTACTATTAAGACTTTATACCAAACTACATCATGATGCTCTGCAGGTATTTTGATTTGGGAGCTAAAAACAGATTTAATGAGAAAATAAAAATATGGATAATGTTGGGTATTTAAGCCTTAATTTCAAAATAATAGTAGCTTGACACTGAGTGAATATTAAGTGTATACAATATATTTTAGAGGGAAAATATCTGGGGTATTTGATATGGTTTCACACTAAAGGGAGAAAGGATTTCAGGAAGAAATGGCATTGTTTATAAAGAAATAAAATTACTCTGGGTTTCTTGGGTATTTGGGGAGAGGTAATAGAAGGGTTTTAAAATATAGTTCTAGACAATACTCCTGAGAATTGAAAGTAGACATCCTTCTGCACAAATCACATAAGTCCTTGGATATCTGCGTCTTCCTGGGGTCTGCTGTGAATCTCAGGGGCCCTGAGGTTGAGTCTCTCCTTGTAGAACTCAGGGGTGCTTGAAGTAGTAGCTGCTTTCATCTGCAGGCCTGAGGAACAAGGCTGACTTCCTATGAGGGTGTTGGGTGTTTTTCCTACACCCTATTTTTACTCAACATGATTTACATTTGAGGATATAGAAGCCAAGGTAACATGTATGTTTTCTGTATACAATGGCTGATGGGATCATTTTTTTTAACTTGGTAAAATTTTGTCAAAGTACATTTAGATCTTGGAAAGAAGTCAGCACTTACATTTCCTTCTTTTCATTTCTCCTTCCTTGTTCTCTTTTTTTCTCTTTCTCCTCCCTTGCCTGCCCTGTCCTGGTCCCCTTTTCCTTTTTTTTTCTTTGCAGTGCCTCTTAAATATTGTGGGATAGTCATGCCTGATAAGCAGATGCCCTTTGAAGCTGTCTTTTCTTTGGGAGAAGGCAGAAGGCAAACGCAGTAGCCCACACGGACACATGACTCTCACTTCCTGGTGTCTTGTGTGTTCTTCTCTGTTCCAGGGAGTTCTGTCCAACATCTCTTCAATCACGGACCTTGGCGGCTTTGACCCAGTGTGGCTTTTTCTTGTGGTGGGAGGCGTGATGTTCATCTTGGGGTTTGCAGGGTGCATCGGAGCGCTGCGGGAGAACACCTTCCTTCTCAAGTTTGTAAGTATCACACTGCGTGCAAGACTGAGTGTGAAATAGTGAGCTGTACCAAAGCCACCAATGATGCTCAGCCTAAACCTGAAAGAGGTAGGTTTTAGTAAAGATAGACAACAGTAAACGTGAACCTTGCTGGGCCTAATCCCAGCACTCTGAGAGGCTGAGATAAGAGGATCGCTGTGAGTTCTAGGCTAGCCTGGGCTACATAAATGAGTTCAAAGCCACTCTGAACTACACAGTGAGATCCTGTCTAAAAGAAAAAAGAAAAAAAAAGTGAATCTCTATAGTACTTGGCCAGTACAGAGTTCTTTATATGACTGATATAATATTTAGATCCTTTACAGAATCTGTGTTTGCTGTGTATAATGCTGTTAGCAAGAATATAATGGCTACTCATTTCACGAACCCCATTTTCTCCATGGTTCTACTCTCAAACCAATCTGGACAGCAACCTAATTAAATCTCACCTAAGGCCAACATTGAGCCTAACCACTGAATTTGATTCAGTTCTTGTCCAACTCAGTTTGAGACCACAATCATGGGAAGAATCCAGTTTATGAACTATGGTTCTACTTGCATTTGTGAAAAAGGGGATTTACAAGGGGTGTGTGAGTATTAAAAGTGAAAGTAGAGAATAGAAAGTAAAAGCAAGAAGGCATGGCATGTACTACCCGTGTAGGATTAGTGACTGCAATTAAGAACTGGCTGAGTGTGCTCATCTGGGGAACTTGGCTCTGTGGTCCCCTGTGTGAAGTGTGCACTGCACTCTGCAAGAACAGAGAAAGGATCAGAAGGACCCATCCTCCAATGGTAAAGGAAAATGTTTAGAAATTTCCAGAGAACAGCTTTTCTATAACATTGCCTATTACTAGAATCACTCTTAACCTTTATTGACACAGTACCATCTAGGGCAGTGGTGGTGAACCTCTGACACATATATTGTTTTTCTCTTAAGACAAAAGAAGACATATGAGTTGATGTTACGAGTTCTTTCTAAAACATTCAGATTTAATTACAGTGTTGGTACTTTGCGATAAGTAAGTGGGTTTTGGGTTGCAGACTGGGTATTCATCTTAGCAGGTTCACCATCACTGGTCCAGGGTAATTTTCATTTAAAATCAGAACATATTTAAGAACTAGTCCCAACAGCTGTTCGGTGTGTGATTGTCTTCCCCATCATCCTCTGACATCTTTCCATGACAGTCCCTAAGAAGACCTGCCCTAGGTGTGCCAATTACAGTATGTGAGACTCTGACCACAGGGGCAGGGTATAAGTACTTTGTCCCCATCACATACCCTGCAGCCCACTCAAGGCCTCTGAATGCTGAGTTCATCTTACTTAGTTGCCTGTTTGGGCCCTTAGTTACCTGCAAGTATAGATGCCATTCCCCAAAATGTGGAATCCTCTTACTATGACTCACTTTAATGTAATTTGATTTATAATAGCAGTCCCTTTGTAAAATCCACTGTTAGAAATGAATCATATTGTTTCTTAGCTTTTTTAAGTCTTTGAGAATGCCTAAAATGGCCTGTGTATAAAAAATGTACTAGAATATTTTTGAGGCTGTGAGAAAGAAGTGAACCTCACTGTACCTCTAAACCTCGTGGGGACCTGATGCCACCAGACTTGAGAGTCGCAGAGAGATAGTCCCAGGAGCTGAGACATGGAAGCAGAAGTGGAACTCCCTGGTAGAGTCCTGCATGTCTGTACCTCTGAAAAAAAGGGTGTTTACTCACAGGGCAGGGTGAGCGGGTCATGTGAATATTTGATATGGATTGAATCTGATACCAGTATTTGATATGTATATTATGTGTATGAGAAAATTGACCAGGTAATCTGGAAAATGAGCTTAGTAACTTTCACGGAGCTGAGAACAAATATCTCCTTAAGACCTTCCCAGAGCTCCTGCCTTGCTTGTTTGTGAGTACACAGATATATACTAGCTGTGAGTCTGTTGTTCTGTGGTGTAATTGTTGGCTTTTGTGTGTCCAGGGTGGTCCCCAGGAAAGGAAGAGACTGTTTAATACTAGGAGAGGGCATTGATCAGAAGTGGTGTGATAGGTTTTCTGATCTGTTTTTTCTCTATTAAGTAAAGCTTGATTTGAAGTTGCCAGTGGCTCTGAATAATAATGGAGGACTGTGTAAATCTCATTACTGGTGAGCTCACTGAGGACACATAACGAGGAGCTTGAGAAAGCTGAGCTAGGGGATCTGGAATCGGGCCCTAGACTTTGCAGGCACAGATTCCCTGCCTGGCTTCCTCATGGGTAGCCAGTGGTGCCATCCTCTTGCCCCGCATCCTCCAGCAGCCTGTCAGAAAGGATTGCACCTGTTATGCAGGGGTATGATCGTCCTCGTCCTCACTCCAGGCCTGCCCGCAGCGGGTTTTTAATCTTCTTTCTTTTTTTTTTTTTTTTTTAATCGGTACTGGGGATTGAACTCATGACCATCTGCTTGCAAGGCAGGTGCTTATGCCGCTGAGCTAAATCCCCAGTAGACATCTGTTGGTGAAATGGTTTTGCATTTTCTCCTTTGCCAAGTGATTGTAATGTTTGTTTTGCACCCCTTGCCCTGCACATCAGTCTCCTGCTTGGCTGTTTGGTGTCTGCCTGCTAAGTGCCCCACTTGCTGCTCTGCAATCTCTGCCCAGCAGATGTGACCACACGCCACCCCCACCATTGTCACAAGAAGCTTGTGCCTACCCTGTCCTGGCCCCGCACAGCTCCACTTCTCATAACCTGTCTCAGCAGGAAGTCGGAGAAGTATCCAGTGTGGGTGGAAGGAACTGTGATCCTGAACGAAGTCAGTGTGGCTGAGACCAGCTCTTCCAGGATTCAGGGTGGACGAGAAATCTCCCCCAGACTGACAAGCAGTTACCACAGTGCTTGTGGGTGCTGGCTCAAACTTGTCTTTTCTCAATTAGCCAAAGTCTCCCTGTGCTGAATGGTGATGTTACCTAAAGTGTTTCCTGAGCTTGGTGTTCCTGAGGGAGAGGCTGGCGCAGCTGCATCCCAGGAGCACCGTCAGCCCAGTTTCGCTTTGCTTCGCTGACTGGAAATTACCTTGGTGTCACAGTCACCCCCGCCCCACACATTTCCTTTGTGATGTCTCTGTCCAAAATGAACAAATCTGTTATTTTACACTGCACAGCAGGTGCAAAGGAGAATTAAAATGGTGTTTAATCCATAAAAGGGATATATTGCACACAGAATCAAGGCCACAGTAACAAATGACAAGCAGCTGTACAATATTGGGGTGACCTGTCTTTTCAAGTTAGGGGAAGGCTGCGTGAAGCAAGGGCAGGTCACTGTTGAAGTGCCAGGAAGTGTATTAATCACAAGAAATTCATTGGACCTTGATGTGGCTCTAATGAGAAATTCCTATTATTCATGTTTGCGTATGAGCTTTGTTGGTTAATTATCAAATGAAACACTGGAGACTCTCGAATGTGATTATGAAGTGATTTTTAATTTTTAAAGTTCTTTTCTTGGAATGTAATAGTCTGTTAACAAATGTTAAGAAGCTGAAGATTATCTGCTTTGGAGATGTGTAACAATTGAATGTAATTACAAACTTTTCAGAAGGGAACCATTTAACTACATATGATCAGAACAGCCCTTATAACTGCTCTCTGTGTATGTGTCTTTTGTCTTAGTTTTCTGTGTTCCTGGGAATTATTTTCTTCCTGGAGCTCACTGCTGGGGTTTTGGCATTTGTTTTCAAAGACTGGATCAAAGACCAGCTGTATTTCTTTATAAACAACAACATCAGAGCGTACAGGGATGACATTGATTTGCAAAACCTCATAGACTTCACCCAGGAATATGTAAGTTTAAATTTGGCTTATTTTCAAGTTGACAAAAAAGGATGGCTTCTATAATACTCATCTCTACCAGCTCGAAACTACCTCTAATTTTTCTGCATGGCTTTTTGTTTATTATTTTCTCACTTGCTTCATGACTTACAGGATTTGTATCCTAAATGGAAATGTTCTGTTTCACTTGTTTCAATTTATGTTCAGTTAGACAAGGAAAAGGGCAACTCTTGAGCAAATAGCTTGTAATCATGGTTGTCCTTGCCTGTTCACCGTTGAAGATAGCTGTTTTTGCAGTGTTTTGTTGTTTTTGAAGTTTTATTTGGTTACTAAATATGGGTTCTTATCTGTTCCTTTGGTAACCTTCCATACTTTATAGGTCATGCTGACATAATTTAGTAGGGTACTTGCTAAACAGATTCCTAAAAGATGCCTGTTCAGTAATATAGAAATACAAACCAAAAGTTTTGGAGCTACTCAGCCACCCCTACTGCCTTCTACTCCATGGAGAGTCTTAGTAGATGATTCCTGCCTCCCTCTGGAGTCTGAACTTGACTGTGCAATAGCTCCTGCCATGAAAATGGATTGGTAGGGCCCATTTTGCTCAGAATCAAAATAGTAAATTTGAGGAGCCTAGAGATATAAGGTCTTAGTGTGACCTTGGGCTCACAGAACCTCAGTAGTAAAATGGAAATAATAGCTACTGCCTAACCCATGGGGAATCATGATGCTCTTGTAAGATGTGCATGGCTTTGTATGAGGCCTGAGGTGTATGGCTTGGACAGTTTCTCCAGGGTGTGCTGGGCCACCTTGAACAAAGGGAGGATACCCTCCCATTCATGTCGGCACCAAGCTGTGCTGTGCTAGTGTTTTTTGGTGGCTGTGGCAGTGTCCTGGGGTAAGCTGAGCCTCAGGCATGAGTTTGAGCACGGGGATTTTGGACACACCCACACCTCCCAGTGTTTCCTGTTCCTGAGCTGGTCTTGTGACAGATCTGTGGGAGGCAGATGTCCAGTTGCATCTTTAACCCAGAAGACCAGACAGTTTTAAAGACTTGCATCTGTGTTCTGAAATGCAATTTGCACTGTTCTAGAACACAGTTGTTTACATGATTTGATTTGTCTAGCATGAGTTTAATGCTTTGAAGTATTGACAGGTCCTGAAAGGCTTAAAACAGTCAAGGCCTCATATTTATTTAACAGAGAGAACTGAAGGTGGTGAAGCTCAGGAGAGTGAGAAGGGGCTATGGAGTAACCCTTGAATCAGGCCCCACTGTGACCCACTGAATATAACAGCGTATTTTATCATCTTTAATTAGATAATTTGCTTTTTAAAGTTGAAAAACATGTTTTTGTTTTTAATAATTTAAGGTAGAAACAAAATGTAATGGGAAGTAAGTCTGAGGCCAAGGATGTATTGTATTTCCTGTCTTTTGTTTGTTTTTGTGGTACTGGGGTTGGCCCAGGGCCTTGTTCATGCCAGGCAAGTGCTCTAGTACTGACATACACCCCAGCTGGGATCCAGTATCTTGATTTTGGTAATGGTTTCGCAGTATATGTATATCAGCATTTAGCAAATTATACACTTTTAAAATGCACAGGCTCAGTTATACTTCAATAAAATGGGTTTTTAAAAAACATTAAAGTATGGAGATCAAAACAGTAACCCCTCACGACCCTCAGGTACCTTCTTCAGACAGTACCACGGTTGCTAGTGTCTGGTATAGACTTCTAGAGTGTGCTTGTTTATCATTCTAGAATGAATGCAAGCCAAACAGAGCTTGTAACTGATCCCTGGCTGGACAGTGCTCCTCCCTGCTTCCCATACACCACGGGGCTCCTCAGTTGTTTAAATCACTCACTGACAAACCTTTGTAAGTCTTCAGTCCTATTCTGAGAGCTTTTTACGGGCCTGTTTAGAGTCATTGTGGCTTAAGAATGATTCTGATGCAGCAGAGAACATGGGAGCTGTTCTGGTGGGTGTGGAAGGGCACACGTAGACGCTCTGAGTAGAGATGTTCTAATTCTCTCCTATTTGCTCTAGTGGCAGTGCTGTGGGGCTTTTGGAGCTGATGATTGGAACCTAAATATTTACTTCAATTGCACAGATTCCAATGCAAGTCGAGAGCGATGCGGCGTGCCATTCTCGTGCTGCACTAAAGACCCAGCGGTAAGCCAAGGGCACACACTGCCCACCTCACTCATCACACTGCATGTGTACAGATGCTCAGAGGTTTCCTTGTGCAACTGCTTCTTACCTGCTTGTGCCTCCCTGAAGCTCCCCTAGCGAGTGCGGTGTTCATGTCTACCTGGAGGCGCAGGCATCGCAGGTGTTAGTGTAGCAGAGCATTCTGGCTCCTGCCCTGAGCCGTCTGTTCACTGGCTCCTCACTAACTTTGGGAGGTTATACAGGCAGCACCACCATCATCCCACCCTGTTAGGTAAGAACGAAGGCTCAGAGAGGGAACGTGAAGGACTTGGCGAAGTGCACACGTGTAGCAGGGTTAGCGCGAGTGCCAGGCCTGACTGTCAGGCCTGCCAGCCCTGTCATCCCTTCCTGAGGAAGCTCAGCTTGTGTGAGAGTGCAGGGTCGTGGTTTGGGACTTGTAACCCTTTCCTTCTGGGGAGTACCAAGGAGAGGAGCAGAGCATTTATGAAAGGAGTGGGCCGGACTCCTGCCTAGCCAGACCACACTGCCTGGCCTTGAGTGTCACACCTACTGTGGCACTGTTGTGTAGGTTTTGTCTTTAAGGAGACATGTCAGGTTCCTTCACCACAGCATGGCTACAGATGGGTCAGACCAGCCTGATGTCACACAACACTGTCTCGAAACTTGCAGGACAGGCATGAGGCACTGCTGCCCTCGCCCCAGGGGCTCTGGCCTCTCAGTGCTCCCTAGTCCCTGCTGTCCTCCCTCAGGCCCACCCTGGCCCCTGGCAAGCAGAGCCAAGTGGGTGTGGACCAGGGCAGCAGATCTTCCTGCAAGCTACGGGGCTGAAAGGCCGAGAGTCGGAGGACACCCGGCCCCGCTGCTTCCTGCTGTGTGCTTCTGCCAGGGATGCCCGCTGGTCCCATACCCACCTCTCAGTCTGAGGTACCCACCAGATGCCCTGTCACCGCAGGCAGGTGCTGGTGCTACCTCCTGTCTCCAGCCCCTGCCCACCCAGCAGCTACCCTGCAGGTAGCTCTCCTTTCATGACAGACACTCCGCAGAGCAGTACCGCTCTGATCTAAGAGCGAGCGTGATGGTGAGCAGAGAGGAACACAGCAGAGCCTGTGCTCCAGTCAGAGCTGAGACATGTCTCGTGCCTGTGGCACCTGCAAGCAGGGCACTGCTGTGCTTTTCGGTTATTAAAGTAGTGTGTTCTCACCGAAACCCCACTTACGCAATACAGATGTGCATAGATTTAAAAGTACCAGAGTATGCTTCGCATTCACACGCTCCAGTTTGATCCCCAGTGTTATTAAAGAGAAAAGCAAGGCAGGGAGTCCTGCCAGAAGAGCGTGAATGAAGGTGGTCACCTGTCCTTTACGTTTGGTTTTATTCATCTCTGCATTTCCCTGAGCTTCCCATAAGCTGCTTGATGTTGCAGCACTTTGAATCTAGAGTTTCCTTTTTTCCTAAAACAACTTGCTGTTCTTTTTGATATTCCCTGAGCCTCAATTTGTCTCGTTTGTAAAATAGAGCCTATTTAAACACCACTTTATGAAAATTGTTACAGTTATACAGTTAAGTATCTTATGGTTTCTCTTACACAAAGAACCCAAAATACAAGTAAAGAGCAAAATAAAGGCTGAATAAAAAGGAGCTGGGGGATGAAGAGAAGGTGAAAAGAAAGGAATGAAGGTGTGTGGTCTGCACGTGCCAGCACCCCACAGGAGAGTACTGGAATCACTGTGTATTAGAAAGGTGTATTCATAAAAAGTACAATGTGGGGAGAAAGTGTGATGCGGTTCACACTGTGACGCAGCCTGTGGCCTTAAGGGTGTCACATTGATGACATCTGAGAGGTCTGGTGCAAACCCCAGCTGGGCTCCCTGTTTCCCAGGAGTGAGTCTCACGGTCCCCTTTGCTTCTTCTCCAGGAAGATGTCATCAACACTCAATGTGGCTATGACGCCAGGCAGAAACCAGTAAGTGGACTCTTAGCAGCAGGGGGTGAGGCGGAGCATTGCACACCACTGGCTGTATCTGTGACTCTGCTGTCCTCTTCCCCCTGAAGGAAGTCGACCAGCAGATTGTAATCTACACGAAAGGCTGTGTGCCCCAGTTTGAGAAGTGGCTCCAGGACAATTTAACCATCGTGGCTGGCATCTTCATAGGTATCGCCTTGCTGCAGGTGAGACAGCCAGTCGAGGAGAGCACAGGGCCGGTGCCTGTGAGGGCCCTACAGGACAGGAGCTTCTGCAACTCGCTGGAGTGGCCCTGCTTTAAGATATGTTGTGAGGCGAGGAACGACCTGAAGAATTTGGTTTGTGCTTTGTTAAAGGTCTGGTTAAATCCTGAAATACTTCAGAAAAACATTTTCCTTTTCAAGGTGGGGAGTTGATTGGGTCATTAGCTCCCTGCTGCCATTCTGTCATTTGTGGGCTCCCAGTCACTGTGTGGTGGTAACTGGGGCAGCTCTGGAAGGCCAGTGTCGAGCCTGCAGAGGAGCTGAGGCTTTGGGAGTTGCTGAGGTACTGCGCTGTCTCCCTGGACCAGCTTGCTGTAGTGCTAGCAAGGACAGGAGTGCCAGTGGTCCTTCTAGGTGACCTCACCAGCTGGGCTTCTCGTGTCATCGTTGTTTGGTTTGGTTTGGTTGATCTTTTCTTTTTGGTACTAGAAATTAAACTCAGGACCTTGTGCCTGTCAGACAGGCCAGACAAAGCTCCGTGCTGCTGAGCTCTGTCCCTAGTCCTTCTTCATGTGGATACGGCACTTTCCTTGGAGGTCACAAATGGGACGTAGAGGAGGAGATCTAAATAAATGGAAGACTATCCCATGTTCACAGGTGCATCCCTCTCACAGTTGCAGTTGCCTTTTTACCAGTAATAGACAGGCTACCCAGAAATTCACACGGAAATGCAGTTGACCCTGTACTGTCAAAACAAACTTGAAAAGAACAAAGTTGGAGAACTGATGCTTCCCAGTTGTGAACTTACTCCAAGGCTGCAGCCGTCAGGGTGCTGTGCACTGCGGTGAGTTTAGCCGCTGTGGACCAAAGTCCAGAAATAGCCTTGCACCTGTGGTCTCAGTTGGTTTCTGACAAGGGAACCAAACTGTTCATAGGGGAAAAACATAGTTTCTTCAACAAACAATGCTGGAAATACTGGATATTTACCTGTGGAGCAAATTAATTTAGACCTGTACCTCATTTCATGTATAAATATCAACATAAAATATACCAAAGATATAAATATAAACAGGCATGATAGGAATGCCTGTACTCTCAGTTGAGTATACAAGTTTGAGGCCAGACAAGGCAACACAGTGAGACCCTATCTTTAAAAAAAAAAAAAAAAAAGACCCAAGTGTAAGGTTTAAAGCTGTGAAATCCTACAAGAAAACATAGAGCATGGGTATAAATCATTGTGATTTGGAGTTAGGTAGTGTTTCCTTGGATATGAAAATAAAAGTACACTGAATCAAAGAAAATGTATGTATATGGGATTTCCTCAAAATTAAAACTGTGTGTGCTAAAAATGATACTGTCAAGAAAGTGAAAAGATAACCCATAAAATGATTTACAACCCAACAGTAACAAGGCTAATCCAATTTTTAAATGGACAAAAGGATCTCAGTACACATTTCCTTCAGGAAGATCAAAATGGCTAATATGCAAAGAAGAGTTGCCAGTATTGTTAGTAATTTAAAATGCAAATCAGGGTTACAGAGAGAGGTTATGCTATCCCAGCTAGGATGTTCATAATAAGAAATACAGACAATAACAGATGCTGGTGAGGATGCAGACAAGCTGGTATTCTCACAGATTACCAGAGGGAATAAAAGTGATAAATCCTATGTGAAAAAGAGTTTGACAGCTCTTCAGGAAATTAAGCATAGAGTTACAGGACTCAGAAATTCCTCTATGAATGTACCTGAAAGGACTGAAAAAATGTATTCACAAAGAAAAACCTGCACACAAATGTTAATAGCAGCATTACTTATAAGAGTGAAAAAATACCCCCAGACTGGAATTGGAATCTGTTCCTCGGCCCCACTGGCTGGTCCCGGCAGGAATCTGCGGGCTGGTCCCCAGGTGAGGAAGAGAGTTACCCTAGACTGGGAAAGGATTCTGTGCCTTGGCCCGACTCCCTGGTTCCAACTCAATGGTCCCAACTCACTGGTCCCAGTGGGCAACCACGGGCTGGTCCCCAGGTGAGGAAGGGAGTTCCTCCAGACTGGGATGGGATTCCGTGCCTTGGCTTGACTTGCTGGTCCTGGCAGGAAACCAAGGGTTCTACATCAGGTTTGATTATTAAACTGCTTTCACATCCTACAACGTCTTCAAAGTTGTGTTTTTATAAAAATAGCTATATAATGTTATGCTTAATTATATAGTCCCTGATGATGTGGACAATTCTATTGAAAATAACAAGAGAAAGCATAGTAAGTACTGTATATCACCTAATACTGTGGTCTTATATGTCTCTTTCATATCATGATTTTCTAGCAATTTGTTTTGTTGTCTTATTTTGATCTGTTTTCCCACATAACACAGAAAGGATAGATATACACATAGAGAGTCACACATGGGAAGAATTTCTAACCTATTTATTGGAACAAATAATATAATGCATAATGTAATGAACAGATACTCTGAAGAAGAAGTGACACTAAGAAACCCAATGCTAATTCTGTAGCATTATGATATAAAATTGAGCAATACTGTTATTCACTGTTCAGAGTGATATTAGTCTAGTCTCTTATTTTTTGGGAATTGTAATTTTAACATGGTGTTGTTTTAATCTTTTGATGCACATGCTTCATTTTCTCTTTCATAAATGATGTTTCTGAAGTTGATGCAATATTTGGCATTAAGATATACATTTGTAGAGGCTTGGAGTATGTGTTTTTGACAAAGTTTTGTTCTTTTCACATAACTTGTACATTAGTGAATGTTGTGTTTTCCAAGTTGTGATAAGACATCTGCTGATTTCCTAACATCACTGGATATCATACCATGTAAATTATGTTGTCTGATTTTGTTTCTCACTGGAGCCAATATTTGTCATTTAAGTAAACCTTTGTTTTTCTAAAAAAAAAAAAAGAGTGAAAAAATGGAAACAATACAAAAAATTTATTAACTGATAAATGGATAAAATATGGGATATACATTAAAATGGAATATTTTTCAGCCATCAAAAAAGAACTGGCTGGCCATTATTCTTTTCAAGAGTCAGGATAGCTTTCTGCTTCAGCAGTGCAGAGAGAGAACATGGGAGTTGTCTTCCACTTGAACTGCTCAAAGCCAAATCCTTGCTGCCTTAGAGCACCTCAAGGTCCCCACTGCACCTCTGTTTCTCCTCAGCCACCTCCTCCCCTCTCGTGTGACAGAAACACAGAGGCTGCCTCAGCTGCCACATCCTCTGGAGCTCAGAGCCTCCTGTGTCTGTCTGTCTGCACCTACAGCTTTGCTGATCACACAGCCCAGCACCACTGTCTGCTCAGGAGGAGGCACTGGGATCAGCAGGGCTGTGGGGCTGAGCAGCTCAGACTCAACCCACAGGACACAGGAAGCCAGAGCAGCCTGTCACTCCTGGGCAGGTACAGATGAGCCACTGGACAGAATGACCCCCGCCATGACTCCAGCCAGCCCCACTATGGGACAGGTCAGATCCATCAGAGAACACAGCACTGGGGCAGGGTGTGGATGAAACCTGAGGCTGTGACCCAGTCTAGGGGCTCCCTGAGGGGCAGGGATAGAGACAGCAGCCTCAGGCCACCTCCCCTGGCTATCGGAACCTCTCTAGCCCCCATGGCAGACTTTCATGTTGGATTCACCTTACTTTTCTGCAGGTTATTCTAGAACATCCACCTGAATTCCTAAATTTGTGCTTTGCTCCCTCAAAGAAATCTGGAGCTGGGTGTTACAGCACGTGCCTGTAAACTTTGGAGGCTGACAGGAGGGTCATATGGCTGAGCCTGGCTGGGCCTGGATTCAATGCCCAGTACGGCAAAAAGAGAAATCCAAAGAAAGTGAATCATCAGCAGGTGTGGGTACACCTCTGTACCACAGGAAAAGCTGCTAGTGCCACATGTCACAGGAGTCTGCTGCTGTGTGCTGTCCAGAGTGGACAAACCCTGCAACAACTTCAGAGGATCAGTGCCCAGCCCTGGCAGGAAGCAGAAGTGACTATCAGGGCGCAGGGTTTCTCTGGGTGTAGTGTAAATATTCTGTAATTCATAGATACAGTCATCACAGAGCTTTGTGGAAGACTGATCCCACAGAGTCACATTAAAAGGATGCATGTGACTGTGCATAAATTGTGTGTTGATTTTACAACGAATTACAAAAAAAGAGTGGGGCACCATGGCAAGGGGAAGCCCTGTGTTAAGAGTTTCACTGTGTAACTTGCTTTTCTTTCCTTTCTCAGATTTTTGGAATCTGCCTGGCCCAGAACTTGGTTAGTGACATCGAAGCTGTCCGGGCCAGCTGGTAGAGCCCCATGAGACACGGCAACAGCCCGGCCTGTGGCCTTCTTGTCAGTGACACCCAGGCCTCGAGGACCGTCACCACGGCAGCCTGCACCCCTACCTTGCAGAGCTTTCTAAAACTTACTTTCTTGGGGGGGAAAACTGGGAAATGCTGCTCGCTGACAGAATTTTTTGAAAATCCAGTATGAAAGCTGTTGCGCCATGAATGTCTACTGTAGCCATGAATCTGTGGGTGGACTGAAGCCAGCCAGAAAGGAAAAGAAGGGAGGGCAGGGCGCCCACATTTACTTGAATCTGTGGAACATCCAGTCCTGTCCGCCTCCGGTGCCTGAGGGCAGGCAGGCTGCTTGCTGGTCACTCCGTGGAGGCCACGCTGTTGGCTCCCTGCCTGGGGCAGTGGCTTTGGGCATCCTTCCTGTGCATGTGGAGAGACTGCTGCAGCTGTCAGCCGGGGAAGAGCACAGCTCCCTGCGGGCCCTGCACTGCTGTCCCGGGCCGGCTGAGCAGGCAGGTTCGGGGTCTGTCCCAGGGTGCGACCTTCTGAGAAGCTTCACAACCCTTATTCCAGTCAACCTGAGCTTTATCTGTCATTGATGTCCAAGGAGAAAATGCGGTTAGTGAGATTGATAATGGAAACTCCTCCACACCCACCCCACCAAATTAGTGATTGGATTCTTTGGAACGCTCGATTGTGTTGTGATGTTTGTGAGGTTTTTTTGTTTGTTTTGTTTCCAAAAGGTGAAGGGTATGAAATCTTAAGTTTTGCAAGTGTTTTTTTTACTGGGCTCAAGTTTTTCTTTTTTGTTTTTCTCTTGCTTTCCTTTTCTTTCATTTTTTCCCTCTTTTTTTGGTGTAGGTTCACCTTGCATGACCTGTGAATCTGAATTCCTTTCCTACCATCTTTCTAAAGATGTTTAACATTGAGGGTATCACTTGCTCTTGGGTATGTAGTCCCGGGAGGTCATGCCTGTTGCTGCAGCCTGGCCAGTGAGAGTCGTGGTCCGCCCCTCAGTTCCTTCCCCTGTTCCACTGGCCCTTCCCAGGTGGAGCCCGGCGGCCTCCTACAAACCTTCCCCTCCTGTCTCTTTGAGTGGAGTTAAATCCAGTTCCAAAATAGTGTTGACGTAATCAGATGCTTCTAATAAGTTTTCTTCTTAAAGATTTAGTTTGATTTAAAACAAATAACAAACAAGCATAGGGCCAGAGCTCCTTCTGTTCTGTTGGCAGCTCCCAGGGTGGGAGCAAAGCACAAATCCTGGCGTGCAGCTGTGAGCAGTGGGTGGGTGTCCGTGACTGAGGCGGAGCCGCCCAGGTGCTGCCCGCCCTGCCCCTTTTCTGGGAGGAAGGGCCTGTTTTGCTTCCCAGATTTTAATCCAACTGTGTCCACTGTGTCCTCCTATGGAGCAGATGTTGATCTGTGGAACACTAGGAAAACCACAACAAATTTCACATTGGTGCCACACTCACCAGCACGTAACTGGGCAGCCAGCTGGTGTCATTGGAAATTTAGCAGATTCATCTCAGTGGCTGCTGACTGCATCAGTCTGCTTAGAGAAAGGACGGAAGTCCCTGTGGTCTCGTCTCTACCGTGTGTGTGTGTGTGTGTGTGTGTGTGTGTGTGTGTGTGTGTGTGCGCGCGCGTGCGTGTGTGACTGCATGTGGGCTCTTTTTTGTGTAGGTAGAGATACTCGTTTCCTATTCTGGATGTGAGAGCACGTTACTCCCCCCGCCATCCCCCAGTGCTGTGGGGCTCTTGTAGTGTCCTTCTGACACAGAGAAGATGTGACTCTCCAGTTGGCACTTCGGTCTGCTTTATTACCTCATTCTCCAGTAAACATCTGACCAGTTGACTCCAAATCAGGCAAGACCCCACCTTTGACACACCCGGAATAGGCCAAACAGCAAGTTCAAGTGGGTTTTAAATTTTAATTAATTACCTTTTATTTTTTACACTTAAGAGTGATTGTAATAAAGGTGGTCATTAATAAACTCGGCTCTACCTTCCATGGAGTTATGTCTGTCTTCATTAATCTTTCTTGGGATTGTGAAATTCTTTAATCCCGTGGTTCACAGACTCAGCTGTGGGCAGGCTCATGCCAAGGGCTTGTTAGATCCCCAGGGTCCATGGGAGAGCGTGTGCATGCCCAGCACCAGCCCTGGGGTCAGTGCCCAGCCCAACAAACCAGAGAGGAACTTCTTGTAGAGTGGGTCCAGACCAGGGCTGGACATGTGCGTTTCCAGCAGGCTCCTGACTGGTGACACCGTGTGGGGACCACACTTTGATTTTGACCCAGTTCTCCGGGCAGGAAGGGAAGAGTTACAATACTGTGGCTGTGGAGGGAAAAGTCCCTTTGTGCTGGCTGCTCAATGCAGGCTGATGAGACACAGATGTGGAGTCATTTCAACAGATCTCAGTGCCTGAGTGTCCCCTGTTGGGTACAGCACCTGAGGGCCACTTGACATGCAGACCACAGGCCCCGCCCATGGGCAGTTGCAGAGGGTTTCCCAAGCTCCTGTTAACAGATAATATGCAGCAGTAGTTAGGAGTGACAAGTCTCGGAAGACACACAGCTTTCATGAGAGTAGTTGTGTGCAGTAAGTCATGCGGTGCGCTCAGACCCTGCTGTGTTTCAAGCTAAATCATTACCTTGGTTTTAAGGAAACTAGTCATTCTGTGAATTTTTATCCACATGTATCAGAAATGCAATGATGCTTTGTCTCCACAGATCAAAATGCAACAAATTTCTTCAGAGTGTAGATGATGGTAGGCTTTAGAGGAAGATTACTCAGTTTCCCTTTATTTCTATTGTTTGATTACCAGAAACATTATTGCTTCACAATATAAAAATTATATAGCGTTTTTTGAACAAGATTTAAAAGTAGAACTTTGTATCACAAAGTCCTTAAAAGTACGCCTTCCTTCACAGCTTGTTTCCTGCCGCAGGTCCCAGGCCTTCTTTCCTCCAGGCCTTCTTTCTTAGGCCAGCTCTTGGCTTTGTGTTTTATGCAGAGTATTTGATCCTTCGTGCCCTGTGTGGGGGAGGAATGGAATAATTTCGCAGTTTTGTGGCACTTCTGCCAGCAACTGTTTCCGGCTCGCTTGGGCGAGTGCCCTGGGAAGTTGGTGGCTGAACAATGAGGAGCCCAGACCCAGTGACCTTGGCAGGCCCCCCCAGCGCTCTCTCGCTCATTTACTCCAGGAAGCCCCCATCCAGACCTCCAAGGGAGAACTGGGACCCTGTCCATGAGCACCGGCCAGTACTGAGCAGCCAGCAGCTTGGGGGGCTGGGACCCGGTGTTGCCTGGAAACACCCAGGTAGGCTCCAGCTCAATGCAGACCAGGACTGTATGCACGGCGTGGACCGGGGCCCAGACAAAAAGCAGCTTGGGCACGGAGATCTACGCTGTGAAAACCCTGTTTTCTTTTTTGGTGGTTGCTGGAGTTTTATCAAACTGGTTTTTAGGGTATCTTAATTTAAGGAACTAATTGCAGCTTCTATTTGTGTATTCGTTGAGTGAACCGCTTGTCCTCAGAGAGGAAGCATGCTCGGGCCCTCCTGGTGTCCCCTTATGATCACCACAATGCTTTTCTCTGCCCAATAGCTCCTTGCCACGGGACATTTTAGTGCTGCCCTCTAGTGTCCACTGAATAAAACTGCACCTCACTGCACTTCGGAAGCACTGGAAGGTTTTAGGCTTTCGTTGCATGCTTAGGAAAAGTACGTGTTTTACCCCTTTTGCTTAGGGTGGGTAGATATTTTACTTTTTGTCACACCCCTGGAAACAGCATTCCTGGCTTATTGTGGAAAGTCAAGGTAGTGGGGTGTTCCAGCCACCTGCACATCTGTGTAGATGGTGGTGACAGCCTGACATTGAGCTCCTGCCCCAGGACAGTGGTGGCCTTATAAACAGGATGCATGAGCATGGGCATGTGCACTGTGAGATGGCCATGACACAAAGGCGGAGCTTGGGCAGCCCATTCAGCTTACGGTCACCAAAGCTGCTGACAGCCATCAAAGCCTGCAGCCTCCAAAACAACCAGCCTTGTTAGTGCCTTGATTGGGATTTGGGAGCGAGTGATGTTCAGCAGCTTTTACATACACAGGACCGGCAGACCTGCTGCCCTTGCTCCACTGGCTGGCCAGAGCCATGCATGGCTGTGACCAGGACAGATGCCCTAGACACAGTGTGGAGCATGCTCCCTGTCTGCATCTGCAGTCTTGACACTTTTTGTAGGATGTTTTAAACTTTCTGCTGTATTTCATGGATTAAATGTCTAGACCCACAGTCGGTGTTTATATGAATATTTCTTTCTAGATTCTAGTGATAAGAGTTGTGTAAGTGAAACTTTTCAAGACTTGTGCTTTTCCTAGTCTTCTTATCTAATGATTGGTAACCCACTGGTCTCCATACTTGGCTGCAAGGTGAATCACTCCTCTCTCCATGGAGGTATTTCTGCTCACTGAGCCAGCACTGTATGGAGGAGAGGCAGTTACCACAGAGAGAGGGCCCATGGGTGGGAGTGGCTGCATCATAGCTGCACTCCTCTTCCTCCTCTCTGTAGGTGCTGTGAGGCAGGGAGGTCCCTGGAGGCTAGCGCAGGCAGCCAGGGCATCTCTGACCTGAGGGAGGCGATCCCAGGGAGCAGCAGGAGAGTGGCAGGGGGCCTGGGGATTGGGGGTGCCAGTGACACCTCTCTGGAGAGAGGACCCGACAAGTACAATTTCTGGAGAAATTCAATAGTGTGGGTGCAGAACTCTCTGTGGCGGTATTTTGCAGAAGGCAAAAGCCTCCACATCCCACCCACCCAAAGGCAAGGAGTTGCTGAAATGTCACGAACCTGCAGTATGATGCTGCCTCACATCTGCAGGCCAACAGAATGCAGAGCGCACGATGGAACCCCTTGCAGTCCAAATTCCTGTGTCCCCCAGGCCACTCTGGAGCCCAGCACTGGGGGGCCCAGGTGGGCAGGGCCTAGCCTCAGTGGGGCACTGTTCCAACTGGAAAGCCCGAGGGAACCTGATTTCCACCACGTGGGGACACAGAGCGCCCCGGGTCAGGCACTTGGGTCACCTGTCTGCCAGTCTAGGGTACCATAGCAGCAGGGAGGTCCCACGTGTTGCAGGAGTCAGGAGCTGGAGGGGACAGTCTTGTAGTGACAGTAGGCCTCTGCAAGAGAACAACAGTGTTGTCAGTGCTGGATGCTCACGATGGTCCCTCAGGTCATCACCAGAGACTCTGAAGTCCCCATGCCCACTTGGGCTCCCACGTTGTTGCTCTGCGCTGCTAGGGTTTCTCCAGCCCACCATGCACCCGATCACCTGGTCTCGGGCAGGTTCTGAGCTGAGGTCTGGGTGGGCCAGGCCCTGCTGCAAGCAGGTTCCAGGTAAAGCCATGCAGAAGCAGGCATCTCCAGAACCTTCCAAGGCGGAGGGAGCCGAGCCTCCTCTGGCAGGAACAGCAGCATCTCGAGCAGTGCATGTGCATGTGTGCATGGCGCTGGGCTCTGTCCCCAGTGTGCAAAGCTGGAACACCAGTGCTGTGTATTTGGGATTCCTTGATGATATCTTACCCACAGCTACTAGGCTGAAATTTTCAGGTCTGGGAAGGGAGATCAGGTAAAATACCTATAAACAGATAATATTTTTATGTTTGTTAAATATGTTTCAATTTGTCCACAAAAGAAAAAATGCAGAAAACCAACAGAAAAACATTTCTACCCCTGCAGGCATAAACTTATATTAAAATTTTTTTGACTTGTTTTATGATAATTTCCATACTATTTGTGATTTTTTTCCATTTCTTATTTTCAGTTGTTTGTAAACTGTCTCAGGGTTTCACTGTTCAAGGTTAGCCTTGAACTCACTGGGTAGCCCAGGCTGGTCTCAAACTTGTAGCAATTCGCATGCCTCGGTCTCTGTCTTTAAACTAGGGTATTTTCAGTGTCCACAGACATTTTATACAGTAAAAACGCTTTGATCATATAGTGTTATCAAGGATTCTCAAGCTTTGGTCCATGGGTTTGTTTATTTAAGTTCCTAAGATGCCAAAAGTTCACATGGTGCAAAGTATTCCAAAGCTCTAAGATATTTTCCCCGTTTTGCTGTCCTGGGTGCATGGTGTGGTGACATTATTGACAGGGACCATGCTTGAGTATTTTTAGGTTTGAGACCTTTCTTCCTTCTAAGTGAATGTGCCCAGAGATTATGTTGTTAAGTGAAGCAAATCAGACATACCAGCTTAACTCTCACATGGTTTCTCTACAGAACCCAAAGTACAAACAGAGTCAAATAAAGGAGAGATCATAGAAGGTAGCAAGATCTTTTGTACATGGCAAGGGGATCAAGAGATTCAGGGAAGAGAATTTTTAAGGAGAATTAAGATGTTTTCTGTGATGTTCCTCTCCCTATGAGGAATATGGTCATTGTGTACAAACTTACTAATAAAAAAGATACTCTGTAGAAAAGATCTTCAAAACTCTTAATTTTCCCATTGAAACATTACCTCCTCTGCCTGCTAGTCTCTATCCTGTCCTCCCTCAACCTAGTCAGCTCTTACTGTGTGGCTAAGCTAGGCATATTTTTACATTTAAGTGTCTTTCATGTTGCTATTGTCATTTCTCCTACAATTACATTTTCTGTTATTGCTTGCAGAGTTTTGCTTTTGTGGGAGGACAGGGAGATGTCAGAAGAATTCAAATGTGTTACATAAATGTACCAACTCAAAACATACTAATAAAAATTGGGAGCTGGGTATGGTGATGCACACCTGTAATCCCAGCACTCAGGAGGCTGAGGTATGAGGATTGTTGCGAGTTCAAGACCAGTCTGGGCTACAAAGTGAGCTCAAGGCTAGCCTGAACTGCACAGTGAGACCCTGTTTTTAACCAATAAACCAAAAAAAGAAAAAATTAAAAGAAAAAAAAAAACCATCCAGGCATAGTGGGGCACACCTGTAATCCTAGCACTCAGGAGGCTGAGACAGAGGAGTCTCCACAAGTTTTA